TAAATGGACACATGTACCAATGTGACAAATATACTTTGTCTACTTTGAAAATTTCTTTCAAGCACCACAATTCTGCCTTTTTATTTATTTTTTTTGGGGGGGGGGTGGATTTCTGTTCAAGTACAGTTGTCTCCATTTTCACCCCACCACAATTCTGCCTTTCAATAATCAGCCCTTAAGTTAGAACCTTGAACTTCACTGAGCCGAGTTGTGCCCCATGGAAAAGTTTGTGTTGCTTTCTTAAGCAACCCCATTTGTGATAGTTTGGTGCCCTGAAAACTGATACATCCATCCTCAGATGAGTTGATAAAATAACCTGGTATATTCATACACTGGAATTTTATTCAGTCATAAAAAGGAATGAAGGTACAGTAATCCCTTCTTATTCGCAGTTTTAATTTCTGTGTTTTAGTTACCTGTGCTTAACCATGGTCCCAAGATATTAAATGATAATTTCTAAAATTAAACAACCCATGCACTTTAAATTGTGTGCTGTTCTTGAGTAGCTTGTGAAATCTTGCACCATCTAATTCCATCCTTTCTGGGACATTAATTATCCCTTTGTCCGGTGTATCCATGTTGTATACGTGCTGCCTGCCCATTAGTCACTTAGTATTTGTCAAAGTTACCAAATCAACAGTCACAGTGTCACAGAGCTGGTGGTCATGTAACCCATATTTTACTTAATAATGGCCCCAAAGCCATTTATATAACTTTCATTTATGTTGTCATAATTGTTCAGTTTTATTATTAGTTACTGCTGTTAATTTCTTACTGTGCCTAATGTATAAATCAAACTTTAACTTAGGGATGGATGTATGTATAGAAAAAACATAGTATATATAGGGTTTGGTTCTTCATGCACTTTCAGGCATCCAGTGGGGTTCTTGGAATGTATCCTCTATGGTTACGGGGTGACTATTTTATACATAGTACCATTAGCATGAACCTTGAAAATATTGTGTTAGGTTAAACAAGCCAGTCACAAAGACCATGTGTTATATGATTCCATTCATATGAAAATCAAGAATAGAGAATCTATATAGACAGAAAGAGATTACTTGTTGCTTAGGGCAGGGAATGAGGTGAAAGTGTAGGGGAGAGATATTTAGAAGCTTTTATTTTTATTTTTGATAAAATGAAAAGGTCCTAAAATTGATGATGGTGATTGTTGCACCCAACTATGAATATGCCAAAAACCATTTAAGTGTACTTTCTAACTGGGTAAATTTTAGATATTTGAATTTATCTCAATAAAACTATGGTAAAATATAAAAAAAACATAGTAAAGAAAATACACTCTCTGACTCATGACCTTTTTGGCTCTTCCTAGCAATAACAGTATAAAGACAATTAATTCACCTACTTTTTGAGAAGAACTTACTCCAGTAAAACAAATTACTTTCAGAAAATAAAAGGAATATCAACTCTCTCAAAACTGTCTCTTACCACCTGGTGTTGCCCCAACCCAATTGGGCACCTCTTTTCCCATTATAGCTTTCAATACTCTAGTCCATGCTTCCACCAGAAGTCTGAAGTCTCTGGGCTCTCACTGTCCAGAGATGGGTCAGTCTTCTTTGCTGGACTGTGAGCCCTATGTGGTCAGTGGATGAACCTAGCCTGGTCACTGTGACATTATCAGGTTGTTCCAAAGTTCTTCACATAGAAAAGAGGTGTGTGTTGAATGACTACAATGCCTTCTAATCCTCAGAATTTCTAGGACCTTTCTAGTGGGCTTTTATCAAGGAAAGTGACACTTTTTTTGAGGGTCTAGAGCTCCTCCATGCTTTACTTAGAGAGAAAGGTCAGCATTTAGCCCCCTTGTTTCATATATTTGACTTATACATAAGATATTTTGAAAAAGATTTTCACAGCTAAACATTTGATAACCATTTGACTTGTTGACTTGAAGAAAGAAGATAGCTATCAAGCAGGGCTTTGGGTGTCTAACTGGGCTCAGATTTACAGAACCTAGCAGCCATAGCAATGCAGCCATTGCTATGGCTGCATTTCATACCAGCTGCATATTAAGGACACCATTCATTGAACTACCTGCCTCCCACACTGAACCACATGCCTTCAGTGTGTTCCTGCTCTCTGGTTTCAACACAATAAAGGAGTTGCTGGAATCATATTTCAACCAATAGCACTAAGACTTTTCCCATCCAATTGGAGCTGTACAGCTATGTTGCCATTAGCATCTTCACTGAGCAATCAGACCAGCTCCATTTTGACCAATCAAGAGAGTGCTTTCTGGGGACTTCTCATTTACATAAAGGCAAACCAATCTGAGACCATGGGCAGAAACTTCTGTCTGTGTAAGTCAGCTCCCTCTGGCTTGGAAAGCACACTTTCCTTCTTCACAGAAGACTGTAGCTTGCATTTTTCTGGCTGGAGCTGAAACACCAAGGACTTTCCACCAGAACAGAGTGGTACAGAAGAGAGTAGGTGGAGCAGAGCAGGAGCAGACAAGTGGAGCAGAGCTTTCTGGCCAGAGAGGAGCTTCTCCTCCAAGGTTTCCCTCACCTGAGGGTTTCCTCACCTAAGAGCTGCCTCGCATATATGCAGTTCCAGAGTTATATTGTATCACAGTTAAGCTGTTTGCACTAAATAAAGTTTTCTTCTTCATTGCACCCCAAATTGGGTATTTCTGTAGACACTGAATTGATGCCAACATATATTAGTTGATAGTCTGTACTCTTATAAGGGTATTCGTAGCTCTGAAATGCAATACTTATGGAAGGAGCACCAAGGCTTTAATGATGTGCATTTCTGCATTTGTCAGTGGTGGGCACAGAGTGGTGGCACTGAGATTTTCCTTCAAGAAGGAACTTGCCATTCAGCTGCAAGGAGTGCAGTGAACTGACAGCCTCCAGCTACAGTATCTTCAGGATCCACTTCAACTTGGAGCAGAGTCCATGCTCTTCCAAGGAAGCCCTGTCAGCAACTGAGAACAGCTGGGATTGATGCATGACCACCTCTTGCCCAACATGAGATACCCCTAACAGCAATCTTGACTTCAGAGGTATCGTTAGATAAATTGCAACTCTGCATGGTGGTCTGAGTCTCTCCTGCCCATTTCTGCTTCTTCTCTTCTTTCCTCTCATGGGTGTCAAATCTGCATCTCAGTCTGAACACTTTTCTTGACCCATTCTGCTTCCTTCCTCTTTTGTCTTTAACATACATTACCCCCAATAAAATTATGCATTCCTAACTCTATCTAAGCCTCTACTTCCCAGGGGACCCAATTCACATAACAAGCATCATGGGATTTGATGTTTATTACATTCTTGGTCTCAAAACTCTCTTCTAATTTTGGAAAATGCCTATTGTGTGACTTCATAAGTGGAAAGTCTTTGTTTCCTACCACGGAAGTTGAAGGGGCCATTAAATCTTAGGGACCATTAAACTTTTTCCAGCACACCCTGAAACCTAAGGCTTCAATGTCTGACAATGGTTTGGCTATCTAGATCATCCTTCTAGGAACTATGAATATTGTTTGAAGAAGTGACAAAAATACAATCAGGAGTTGTCTACAGCAGTGGCAATGGGTCTAGTGTCCCCTGGCAGTGGTGTTCAGGGCCCTGAATGTGTGTGGAGGGGGTAGCAATGGCAGCAGCTGCCCTTGGCTAATGGTTCTGGCCACTATATTGGCTGACATCCTTCTGGCACTGCCTCTTTTTTCTTTCCTACTCTTATTTTTAGCTTGACTTCACATTGATTTTGTGAGCTAGCCATTCTCTTTCAAATAGCCAACATCCTTTACAGCTTAAAATAGCCAAAGCTATTTTATGTTAGGAACATTGTAGTAGCCTCCTAATTGCTTCTTGCTTTTGTCCTCACCCCTTCCTTCAGTGTATTCATTATACAACAGCTAAAGTTAGTCATTTAAAACATTTCAGATAATGTCACTCATGACACCTATGCGCACCCCCCTAAAGCCTCTCTATCTCACTCAAGTCCTCATTCAATCTGGCACTTTAACTCTCTACCCTCCTCTCCTTTACTCATACAGACATTCTTACTCCTCTACTCCAGCCACATGTGCATCCTTCTAGATTCATGCACACACAGCCTTCTTAGGCTCAGCTTTTTAAAACTTGTTCTGCCAGGAATACTCACTTTCAGGTATCTGTCTGGCTTGCTCAACATTGCCTTAGGAAACCACCCATGACCACTGATTTAAAAGTCTAATCCTGGAATTCCATATCCCACTTCCCTAGTTTGCTTTTCTAACATGTCATTTGTTTATTTATTATGTTTATTCTTAATATGCTACCTTCTCAACTAGAAAGTAAGCTCCATGAGGGCAAGAATCTTGTCCATTTTGTTCACTCGTGGTTCCTAAGTACCTGAACAATGTGCTGGCCCACATTGGATATATAATGAATATTGGTTGAATAAAACGAATTATAAAAGAAAACTTTCATCACTGATCAAGTTGGTGGAGTTTAGAAATGGGAGCTATAGGCAATTTAACTATTTCTCAAAAACGGATTGGAGAGTATTTGGAATTGGAAGTTATAATAAGAACAGGGAAGCGGGTTTAGAAAGAAGAGATGATGTCCTGGCTGGTGTGGCTCAGTGCATTGTGTGCTGGCCTTCAAACCAAAGGGTTGCTGATTTGATTCCCAGTCAGGGCACATGCCTGAGTTCAGACCAGGTCCCCAGTAGGGGGCACATGAGAACTAACCACACATTGATGTTTCTCCCCCCTCTCTTTCTCCCTCCCTTCCCCTCTCTAAAAATAAATAAATACAATCTTTAAAAAAATGTGAAGAAAAGAAAGAAGAGATGATTGAGTGGCAGAGATAATGAGCCAACAAGATGGTTGAAGCTGGGGTATTACAAGGGTGGCTCAACCAGTAGGAAATCTCTGGTGGTGAGCTGGAAAAAAAGATACTTAATAACAAGGTAGTAAAAAAAAAGCCACTTTAAGTTGTTTGCAGTGTCCTGTTGATGCCACACACACAATAGAATAAACATGCCACACTCAACAGTACTGAACTCTTGATGCCTTTTTTGGGAAGTGGTGGATATAAGGATCAAGAAAGGGGATGTGATCTATATTGAGGTTATGATCAGAACTAAAACAAAGGAACATCATAAAGACAGGGGATCTACAATTAGAATCTTGTACAAACATAAACCTAGCCAGAGGTGATCAAGTGAAGGAAAACTCCACACGCTCTTGCTGAATATTGGACAGGCTTTTCTATCAGATATGGAAGATATGCAAGTTTGTATTTTTAGGTGAGCCTCGCTAGCCTGTGGCCCCATGAGAGTAGCAATAGTACTTTCTCTTAGGGTTGTTGAGATCATTTGAGAAGATGAGGGGGCTGTCCCTGCACTCAGGTAGAGTCTGTTCCCTGATGGTTCCTTCTGGGCACAATAGGGGGCACTCAGCGGGCCATCAGGCAGAGCTCATAGGTTGGGGGGATGTTGCCAAAGCCTGAGATCTTGGGGGTGATATCGATGTCAGCAGGTGGCACCAGTGGGCGCAGGGAGAAATTCTGAAGGATGGAGGTGAAGTAGAGGAAGAGTTCCATGCGGGCCATGGCCTCGCCCAGGCAGATGCGCTTTCCTGTGAGCACATTGGAAGAGAGGAGGGTCAGTCACACTTGCACTGTGAGAGCAGAGTCATGGGGAGCCTTCTGACCCCCACCACCTCCTGAGTCTCATCTACTTCCTCAGCCTCTCTGGGGTCATGATAGCACCCACTTTATGGGGTTATTATAAAGATTCAGTGGGTTTCTAGAGTTAGTGCTCAGCTAGCATCTGTCACTCAACATGTAGCAGCTACTTGTCTGATGGCTTGGATGCCATCAGACTCCAAGATGGAATGCTTGTAAAGGATACTCAAATAGGAAGTATTCTGCTTATTTCAATTTTTTAAATGTTTAGTAAAAGCCTAGTTGGTTCCAGACACTGTTGAGTGGGGGGAAATACCAAAAGCACACCCTTAAATGGTTTCAGTTACTCTTCCAGTGTTTTGGAGAAGTTAATCCCCATTTTATAGAAGGAGAGCTGAGGTAACTCCCCTATTGGCCCCACTGTTTGTTGCATCCTGTTTCCTAGCCACTGGTCACTTTTGTAGTACAATGGTGCATATGACTAATTCAGATGACATATTTCAGACAGAAAGAGTAGGAATGGCAAATTTCAGACAGAGAGCATATGAATGCCAAAACTAAAGTGGTTTTTATCTGGTCTTTAGCAGAAAAAGTTTGCAGACCCCTGTATAGTAGTACTATTACTTTTCTAATTATAGGAGTCAATGATTCTAATATTCTATGATTCTGGGAATCTAGGACTCTTTAAAATGCCACACAACTTTCATTTCAGATCTGAACCCAGTACAGACCAATGATTGGGGGGCATATCAAGCATGTCCCTGGGGGGAACTCAGACCACGGACACCTACCAGAAGAAAAAGGCACAAAGGCTTCATTCTTCTTGAAGCGACCCTGCTCATCCAAGAAGTGTTGGGGATAGAAGGCATCTGGGTAGCGGAAGTATTTGGGGTCTTTGAGAACTGAGCCAAGGAGGGGGAACACGTCAGTGCCCTGAGGTAAAAAATGGAGGCAGTTGGGAGAAATCAGTTTTGGAGGATGGGATAAGGAACCAGCTAATAAAGGGGTGCAGTGGAGGGTAAAGGGGTTCTAATGACAGTATACTCCACCTTGGGCAGAAGGTAGCCTCGGAAATGAGTGTCCCGGATGACATTATGTGGGACACCCAGGGGCACAATATCTGTCATTCTCTGTATCTCATGGATCACAGCATCTGTGTAGGGCATCTTGACTCGGTCATCCACACTTGGTATCCGATGTGGTCCAATCACCTGGTCAATCTCTTCATGGATCTTTGCTGGAAAAGTCAAAAAACCATAACAGACAAGGATGCAGGATGTGTTTTGGGGGGACAGGATTGGGTCTTGGGTTTGTTTCTTAAGTACCTGCAGATCCTGAGGAAGAAGGCCATGTGTGTTTGGACTGCCTCTTTATTTATAACATGTGACATGTTGGTGGGATTAGTAAATACTAATCAGGTCATTGGAAGGCACAAAGCCTAGGGCCCTAAATGACATTTGGGCCACTTTGTCTTCACCTTGAAGAAAAACAAAGGAGCCATGGGAGGCTGATAAGCAAGACAGTGTCCTGGTTACAGCTCGGTGTTCAGACACAGAGTTTCAACAAGACAGGAAAGAGACACAATAGATAACTAGGCCAGGATTGAAGCACATGTCAACAATTATGTGACAGTGTTAAGAACACTGTAAGTGCGGTCACCCCTCTGCACTTCCTGGATGAGTAACCTTGGGGCAAATGACTTTAACCTCTGAGACTCTCTTTCTTCATTTTCAAAGTAGATATCATGATCTAACAAGCTCTTAGAATTGCAAAGTTTACATAAAATCCAGTATGTAAGTAACTAGGACCCAGTCCACAGAAAGTGTTCATCATATCTGAATTCTTAGATTAGCAAAAGATGTCATGGACAGTGGAAGAGAGACTAGAAGAGTTTGAGGGGAAACAAGTTAGTCTTTCTCTTCATCTGTAATAGAAAAAATTATTGGCTTACTTTGAACTGCATGAGAAGGAAGAGGGGCTGTAATTGGAGATTTTCCTTAAGCAAGTAATGAGCTCCTCATTTCTGGAGTTACTTAAGCAGACCAGATTCCTATTTATTGGGGATGGACTCTATTTGATTCTGGCACTATAGTCAGCTAAATAATGGACATGAAAGTTATCCAGCTCCTAATCACTGGAACCTGTCAATGTGACCTTATATGACAAAAGGGACTATGTAGATATAATCAAATTAAAGATGTTGAGATAGGGAGATTATTCATAATTAATAAGGTTGACTCTTAATATAATCAGAAGTGGCTGTATAAGAAAGAAGAGTAAGGTCAGTGTCAGAGAAGGAGATGTGACAATGCAATCAAGAGAGATTTGAAGATCTTTGCTGCTGACTTTGAAGGTAGAGGAAAGAACATGAGCTCAGGAATGCAAGGAACACAGCTCTAGAACCTAGAAGAGTCAAGGAATCAGGTTCTACCTTGGTTCGGCTGAGTGAAAGCCTATTTGAACTTCTGAACTGCAGAACCATTTAAAAGATTTATGTTGTTTTAAGCCACTAAGTTTCTGGCAGTTGATGACAGCAGCCATAGGGAAATCAACACAGGCACCAAGTAGATTAAATTAAATGGCTTTCTAAGCCTGAGATCCCAAGATTCTGTGTCCTGAGATTCTGAAGTGTGAAGAATCTAAGGCCATAGGGTTCCAAGGTTTCAAGGTTAGATCTGCTTTGCTGTTGGGAGTGGGAGTCGGGTAAGCAGCTCAAGTGAACACTCACCTTCCACCTCAGGATGCTTCATTAACAGCAGAAATCCATAGCGTAGTGTAGAGCTCACAGTCTCTGTGCCAGCAAAGAAGAGGTTGAGAGTGGTGAGGACCAAGTTCTTGAGGGTGAATTCTGTGTTGGGATTATTTTTATCCTGAAAATGACAGCAAAAAAAAAGAAATGGAATCACGTTTTTTTGTCTTCATCTTCTTATTTTTGCCTTTGTATATGGTAGGCCTTTGTGAAAACACAATAGATGGGAAAACCAAGGGGGTATCTGGGAAAAGAAACAGCCAAAGCAAAGGTCCTGAGGCATGGGTGAGGCTGGTGTATTAGAGGAACAGCCAGGAGGAGGACAGTGTGATTGGAGTAGAGTGAACAATGAGAAAAGTATAAAGAGAAGAAAGTAGAAATTGTCTTGTTAGATTTGAATGTTCTATGACATTAGGGTATATCATTTTAAACCACAGGTGGCAAACACAAGGCCAGAGGGCAAAATCCAGCCTTCCACCTTGTTTTATCTGGCTCGACACCTTGCTTCTACCCGGTGACAGCACTGAGCTCTCGCTTAACTGTTACAAGGTAGTTACATTCATACAGTCCTAAAATTACATTCAGCCCTTTGAAGGCACCCGGGAGGCTGATGTGGCCCCTGGTGAAAATGAATTTGACAACCCTGTTTTAAACTTTCTAGTGCTGCTATTTTATATTAAAATATATAGTTCTAAGAATCTATGATACAGAAGTATTAAGCCTCTAATTTCTACATTTCTATGGCTTTTAAGTTTGTTAAGTTTAAAAACTTTATATGTCGAAGCTTCTCAAATTCTAAGACTAAAGACTCATCCTTCTTTTCTACAGCTGTCTCTGGCAGTTTATACATGATTAGAAAGATGTAAGGTTTTGAGTTTCCATATTCTTAAGGTTTTTTATGTTCAAAGTTCATTTTAAAAAGTTTAATAGTTTGTGCCTTTACAGTTTTTAGATCTCATCTATGAATGAAAGTACACCACAAGAAACAATACTTGCCACATTTTTTTTTATCTCTACCATGTCTACAAATGAGTTAAAAAGTTACAGGTAATAAGAGTTGAGCAGATGACACAGGGTTGGGGAAAGGGGGTGAGATACCTGGTGCATCTTGATGAGGAAGCAGTCAATGAAGTCTCGAGGGTTCTGTGGGTCAAAGGATTCCTCGTTGATCTTGACCCTAGAGGCAATGAAGTCCTTGAGCCCCTCTACCAAGTAGTAGATGCGATTGTGCCTCCCTGGCAGATATTGCATTATTCCGGAATACATGTCATATAGCTGTTGGGAACAGGCAAAGGGAGTTTGTCAGCAATGAGCACCCAAGGCCAGCCTGGGCTGAGTCTGGAGTTAGATAGCTGGACTCAACATCCAGCACTAGGACTGAGAACTAGGTGAGTCCGTTTGCTTCTTGGAGATTCAGGGTATATTGATACTTGCCTCCCAAGATTGTGGGGACTTTTATGCAAGATAGGCAGGTAGTTAGTTATTTGAGTTTGGGGGTAGACAGAGAGGTGTCTGGTAGGCACCTGTGCCCAGGGTGTGCTCATTTCAATGAAGCTCTGGTTGATCATCTGCAGCAGCTTCTGGAACTGCTTGTCCTCATAGTCAAAGCGGCTCCCAAAGACAACGGAACTGATGACGTTGGAGACAGTGCGGCTCAGGAAGAAAGTGGGTTCGGTGGGGGCACCTGGATGGTGGAAATTGTCTATGTTGGAGGCAATAATCAGGAACATGGGGTGCGGAATGATTCAGTCATGGATATGAGTCCTGAATCCACTATCTAATAGCATGCTTTAGTTATTTCATTTTTGTGTTTTGAGTGGGTACCCAATATGCAAATAGGTTTAGTAACCACTTCACTGCTTCATGAGGATTCAATATAACTATCCATGTAAAATGCTTAACACAATCTTTGCCATGTAGTAAACAGCTAGTGGAATTTAATCATTACTTTCTGGTATTGGTATTTAGTTGTGTTTGTGCTGGAGAGTCACAGATCTGGGAAAGGAGCTGTGGTGAGGGACACATTTTACAAAAATGGATAGCTGGAGTCTGTCTATCTCTGTCAATAATTCCATTCAACCTATTAAGAAAATCTTCCCATTGGCCTCAGCTGTGCCATCTGTAAACCAGGATGCTTGTCAGGATGGTGGGTTTAGGGATGATTTTCCAAGAACAATGCCCATATTCACAAATATACAATTTTGCAAATAATTTCTGGGGGTACATGGACATTCAAAGCCTTTATGTAGACTATTTAGTATCATGGAGCCCAAGTGAGGAATCTCTGATTTAGAGAAATCATCACTATTTCTGTCTCTTAACTATTCATCTTCATTTTTCTCAGCCTCTGTGTCTTTTTTCTCTAGACCTCAGTGGTTTCAGATCTTATTTTTGGGTGGGGATTGAATTGCTTTAAAAATATAATGAAATGGGTATAGAGTTTCAGATCCTTGAGCTGAAAACTTTCTAAAGCTCTATTTCACAACAATATGAATATACTTAAAACTACTGAAAAGTACCTTTAAGAATGGTGAGGACGGTAAAATTTTATGTCATGTAATTGTTTTAGCACAATTGTGTGTGTGTGTGTGTGTGTGTGTGTGTGTGTGTGTGTGTGTTTAGGTATACATGTAATTAAATTTGGTCCTGTCACCAGAAAAAGGCATACACTGACATATTGCCAAAGTCCACATATGATGTCAGGAACTTACAAACTCCCTGAGATCTGTTGATTAAAGTTCCTGGACAAGTGGTCTCTAGGGGTCCTTCGTGTTAACTTTTAATATGGAACCTGGCTAGAAATCTCAGTAAATTTTGTCTTTTTCATCCTCTCCCATTCAGAGCTTTCTGACACCAAGGCCTTTCTTCTCATGACTGAGCTCTCTACCACCACCCAGTCACCATGTAGATACTCCCCCTTTAAGCACCCATACCCTTGGTCTTCCGTAATTCCTCTAGTAGGAAGCCAGCCTCCTCCTGGATCCGCTCCTCAATGCTGCGCTTTCCCATCCCGAAGTCCCGAAGAATGGTCAGAGAGAAGCGTCGGAGAATCCTCCATCGTTCTCCATTAGCCAGAGCTACACCTGCCAGAATCTCAGTGTCAGACGTCTGCCTCCTTCCCCTTCCTGTGTCCAACTCTTTGCCAGACAAGGATGGGGAGAGATTATGAAAGCTCTAGGCTCTGCTCTTAGGAAGCCCCTCCCAGCCCTCCAGGCTTGATGGGGAGACTAAAGTTTCCTACATGTGGGACCCTCAAAAACAGTCTAGGACTGAGGTGGAGAAAGGGAATCAGGCCAGGAGTAGTTAAGGAGACAAAGGGGTTTCCTACAGGATAAAGACCTGGAACTGGATGAATGGGATGGATACATAGGAATGTGGGGGGAAGTATAGATAAGATGCTATATATAATACCCTGGAATGAGAAGACTACTTCTGTTTCCTACATACCACTTGGATTCTGGTTTTGTAATCCTTACCCAAGAACATTTTTTTCATTGCTTTTTAGAGAGAGAGGAAGGGAGAGGGAGAAACATTGATGCGAGAGAGAAGCATCAACTGGTTGCTTCCTGTATGCACCCAGTCTGGGGATTATACATGCCCAAACAAAAAACTGAACCCACAATATAGGCATGTGCCCTGACTGGGAACTGAACCCATAACCCTTTGGTTACAGGACAATGCTCCAACCAACAGAGCCACACAGGCCAAAGCCCACTTGGATTCTTTAGACATATGCATATAGAACCTCACACCTATACAACTTATATACCTACACAAAAGGAGTTATCCTGTAATAAGGAATGTTTAGAAATGATCAGATATGCATGGATTGGTGAATTAATGTTTGGAAATGTAATGAAATGATTTTGGTGGATTATCAAAAGGGAGAAAGATTTTATGACAGGAATGATTGATACATGGATGGATGGAAGACTTAATGAATGAGTGAAGGGTTAATGGATGGTTGGAGATAGGTGGATAAATGGTTGGAAGGATGAATTATGGACAGAAAGATTAATAGATAGATGAATAATGGAACAGTTAATGAATGGGTGAATGAAATGATGGATAGAGAGATAAATGGAAAGTTAATTGATAGATTCATAGATAATTGGATAGAAAGATATTTGTATAGAAAATCTAATTAATGAATGAATTTTTGGTGGATAAGTGGATCATGGAAAATGGATGAATGGAAGGAAAAGCATAGGGAGATATGAAAAGAATAGTGTGAGGCTGCTTGGAATTAAAAGGTGTGGGCATTTAGGGACGGATGCATATGTAACACTAGAAAGGTATCTACCTAAATCAAGGAGACAGAGACCTATGGGTTGGGTGTGTGTGTGTGTGTGTGTGTGATGAAAGATTGGCTATAAGGACTTCAGTGGGTACACAGTATCACTAATCCATTAAAAATGAGAACAAAATTAATGCAGCAGGTATTCTAGAGTCAGATGGTTAGGTCCAAAGTAGAATGGTTCTACCACTGACTGTGTGATATTACCTAACCTTTCTTACCTTCAGCTTCCTTATTTGCCATATTAGTAAGATGTTAATAGATCTCTCAAAGGAATCAGTGCAATAATTCATGTAGAGTATTGATCAAAGAACCTGGGACAGAGGAAGTACATTGTAATCATTTTGTTTTGTTGTTGGTTGTTGTTGTTACTTACCATGACCTTGGAAGTTTCGCTCTACTGAAGCCAATTCTCCACGGCCACTGAACTCCTCTGCTTGGTCTACCAGGGCCTCCTTCACTGCTTCATGTCCACATAAAACAACTACTGGCCGGGGACCCATGTACACAGTAAAAACTGGGCCATATTTCTCCCTGAGCTTGGAGTGAAAGAAGACATAAGAGGACGAGGCTGATTGGAGCACTGAGTAGAGATCAATGAAGGATTTTAGGACATGGAGATTTCAAAGGAATGCAAAGGTGGGAATAACAGATACAGATAAATCTTGGACTCTTGTGATCCTAGGCCAGACTCCCCAATGACTCCACAAGCCTTAGTTTCCTCATCTGTGAAATGATGGATCTGGATGAGATAAACACCAAGATCAATTCTTCTCTCTCTGAAATATTAAATTTCTAGAATCCTAAGATTTGATGACATTCAGTCTCAAAGTTCTAAGATAATTAGCCTATAAGAGTTATTGTGTTTAAGGATATAAGGTACTGTGAGTCCAAAGTCCTGAGACTGTGAGAGTCTTAAGTTCCAATGTGCTAGGTGTGTGTCTTTCCAAGAGTCTAAGAATCTGACATTTCAAAATTCTAAGGTTCATAAAGTATGTGTTTCCAAGAGTCTGTGTTTTAGAAGTTAGAAGGTTATACATATATTTGTCTATAGAATGAGTTGCTTCCAGCCCTAAGAAAAGCAGACAGACTCACCTTCATGAGAGACTGAAAGGTGGCATCTGTACGGATTTGTAACAGGTTCCCCAGGAAAGGTATTGGTGTGGGACCTGGAGGCAGTTTTCCCCCCTTGCTGATCCGCTTCCAGGCAATGAGGATGAGCAGACAAAACAAGCAGAGTGTCAGAAGCATGGTGAAGGTCCCTCCCAGCTCCATGGTGCTAGGCTGAGGAGTTGTGTCTGAGGCATCAGACCCTGCCTAAATATATTCTGGGAAATCAGTGAGGCAGAAATCCGAACACCCTGGGATTCAAGTTTTCCGGGTATGGATACCATCAGAGAAGAGATCACTTTAGCTGGGAGGCAGTTATATAACTGATAATCTCCAATGTGAACAAAGGTGGATTGAATTCACCCAGGTAAAACCACTGGGAACATTCCTCTTTCTTTATATTTTTAGTCCTTCAGTTCTCCCTCAGTTCAATTCTGTGTCCAACATGTCTTGGTAGGGTGTAGGAAGCACTGAAAATCATTATTAGGCTACTGTAGGAACTAAACATTTGGGTTCAAATTTCAGCTCCATCTTTTCTCTGCTGGGCCAGGGACCTAACCCTCTTGGCCTTAGTTTCCGCATCTGAAAAATAGAGTCACCAAACCATTTTAGAAAGTCTTGACAGAGAATAGGGGTGACTCTCTTCTCTTTGCCAGATCCTAATTAGTAAGTTTTTAAAAAACAATAAAAGCAGTGAAATGAAGATTTAGAATAGCAAGAGAAATAGCTCAATTGAAAGAGTTTTATTCAACAATTTCTCTTGTTTATGCTTAAGGTGATATGAAATAGTAATAATCAAAGATTACTTGAGGTCGTTTATCAAAACTTTGCTGGTGTCTGTGCACACACGCATATATTTTCAAAGTGTGGGATGTGGAGACCACCTCTGAGCCTCAATCTATAGAGGAAAGGACTGCTATAGTAGTATGGCCTCATGATTGTTTTCTATGATAATCTACATAAATGGCTCTCAACACTTTTTGTATCAAATATCTGTAGCCCTGGCTGGTATGGCTCAGTGGATTGAGTGCCAGCCTGTGAACAAAAGGGTCACCAATTCAATTCCCAGTCAGGACACATGCGTGGCTCGAGAGGCAGGTCCCTGGCGGGGGTGCTTGAGAGGCAACTACACACTGATGTTTCTCTCCTTCTCTTTCTCCCTCTCTTCTGCTCTCTCTAAAAATAAATAAATAAAATATTTTTTTTAAATTAAAAACCAAATATTTGTAAATCTTTACTGTCCTGAAACCAAATTCTGAGTATTATATCCTATCTACATATTATTAAACAAAACCGAATGTTCTTCTCATGTGTCTGTATTCTTAGACTCAGAAACTGAATCTCTTAGGGGAATGCACAGGTTATGAAATAAGGCTTGGCTGGCTGGCTGGGCTGAGGCAACCTGTGTCCAGAAGTGATAGGAATTCTGGGAAAACAAAATGATTCACAAAGCACTGCTTTCTAGATCTTGGATCTCCTGCTATGCGATGTCTTTCGTGAAGTAACAGTTGCCTCTAAGCTGCCTCTCTCTTCTATTCTGAACCCCTCACCACACACCTATAATCCATTGATAACTAGTCTTTTAATTACCCATGATGGTGCAGAAAAGACAGAGAAAGTATTCTTAGAACAGCCCTTGTCACCATCCCACTCCAAACACAAAGCCAGGAGTACAGGCGCAATAATCTGGTGTTTCTCACAGTTTCTGTGGTCGATGTAATTTAATGCCATAATCTCTATACCTACTAGGAAGTCTCTCTGGTACTTACATTTACCCCCAGCTTCCTTTCCACATCTCTTCTGAGGCTCTAGCATAGTGTTCCAGCCTAGAGCAACATCATGTCAGAGATTGAAGAGGCCTTAGAAATATTTCTAGCTAAAAGCTCCTGCTTTAATTTCAAAGGTATAAACAAAAGTGCAAGGGCTGGAGATGGCTGGGAGGTAGGAGGGAGCAGAATCCACTTCCCCCTACACACAGGAGAAAAACCTAGGTGATTTACGGAGGAATAGAGCAAACAGCCAACAGTACCCCAGCATATATGAAGATAGGAGACCAAAATTTGTAGAGGACATTGAAAAACCAGATGATAAGGAGAGTGCTTCAGGACAATAAGGTCCCTGGGACCAGCTCAGGAACCAGGGCAGCTGCAGCCCCAGGCCTGGAGCCCTTCAGTTCTGCCACAGGGTTCTTTGGAGAGACCCAGGTCAATGGCTCCCTCCCCTGCCAAACAAGGATTGAGGAGCACCAGGAGAGACCTGGTTGCTTGAAGTTGCAGAGAGGGGAATAAGGACTAAGTGGCAAACACATAGGGGCTGTGAGCACCCAAGGATTCTGTGGACACTGGCTGGAGAGAGTTGGGAGTTGGGCTGTGATGGGCCTTGACCCAGATAGTCCCCCATCTGGTTGGAGAATTGGGCTGTGCCAGAGGTCAGGCCTCTGTATGGAGAGGCAGGCTTGAGCAGGAGGAATTTCTCAAAAAGAAAAAGTGAAAAAATAGACACTTGGTGGCTGTTTGGGGAATTCTCCTGCAGCAGCCACTCCAGCCTCCCTGCCCTGCCCCTGCCCCAGCCACACCGTGCTCCCAGGTGGCATGGAAGGCCCTACACACTCCTGTAGCCCTGTGAAGAGTGTGCACCAGACCTGAGGGACCAGAGGCCTTCTGGCCAAGTGTGCATGCCCACAACCCTGGAAGAGTGTGCTCAGCGGAAGACCCTGAACCCATACCTGTACTGGGAAGAGTGCACTCTAAGGAAGTCCTGGCGCCCACACCCAAAGCCCTGAGGAGAGGCACCACACTCATGGCCCTGGAGAGTGGGGAGAGTGTGCTCCTGAACCTGTGGAACATGAGGGATGAGAGGCTGCTGGGGAGCTGGGCTGGAGGCTGACTGAGAGTGGATCAGGAAGGGAGAAAAGTGAAACCAATTGCCCCTCAGCCTACTGCAGCCAGGAAGACCAGAAAAACTGGTTTGACCAGTTTGAAGCCAGTAAGAGGCTTTTTTGTTTTTTAAATAATTCTTTTTTTAATTATTATTATCTTTCAACTCCATTTTCCTCTCTTTCCTTCTTTCTTTTGCCATTCCTTTTTCCTTTCTTACCCATTTTATTTCTTCTTCCTTCCTTCTTCTTCTTCTTCTCTCTCTTTTTTTTAAGATTCCCACAAGGGAAACAAAAAAACTGGAACTGTGAAAAGACCAGAGTTGGACCCAAAGAGGGGGCCATCCCAACAGCTGAGACAATGAGACAAATTTCACTTTGCTACTATGGAGAACCTGCAAGTTAAGGCATATCTGTATTATTATTTTTTCATTATTCTTCCATCTTTTATTTTATTAGTATTTTTCTATTCCTCTTCTCTCTGTTTAGTCTTCTTTGCTTAGCTGGTTAAATTGTACTGTTTGACTGGTTTCTCTTGTTCTTTCTTTCATAGTGTATTGTTAATTTACTGTCTTTCACTTTACTTGTGTTCCATTAGCACACTACTCTAGGTCCTACACTTCCTATTCTTATCCAGATCACATAGATTCTGTCATGTGATTGTTGCTCCATTATTATTGTAAATAATAGCTGTTCCAAACAATTGTAAACACTACACAGCACCCCTCCCAGATCATAGCCCACTTCACAGTTTCCTGAACTTTATTACTGTTGTGATTAACTGTATTCTTTCACACACTACACCTATTTTCTATCCTTTACTCTCACCTTACCTCAGAATCTGACCTCCCATAAGCTCACTGCTTTCTAGATCCAACTCACATTCCTTCCCTCCCCAACAAGAGTCTTATCTTCTTTCCACCCTTTGTAAAAAGTGGCTAGTTGGGAGGAAGATCACAGTTAACACTATACATAGGCAAAGGATCTCCTATTTCTTCTCTATGGACTGCTACTGTAAATACCAAAGAATACATTCTTGCTATCTTAAACCATTTTGCTCTCCCTCTCCAACGGATCACAAAAAACAGTAGGTGGAAGCAGTGAACACCAGGATACCTACTGGAGGAGGAAACACACAAACAAAGGAACCACCAACAGATAACAACAGAAGAAGGTGAAGAAGGGAGTGGAAGCCACACTAACTTCAATCCAAGACCAATCTGGAAATACATCTAAATAGTGGAGAAATTACCCACAACAAACAACTGAACAAGAGCAAGAGAGAATCCTCAACCTTGTACATATGGAAGAACCAGCTTCAACACAACCTGCCCACACCAGCAAAACAAAATACAAGAGCTGGTGGGCACAGTGACCCTCAGTTAACCAGCTGGTGGGAAAGACCCGCCAAAGAAAGACCTAACAATCAAAACCCAAAGACAAACACAGAGCCAACATAAACGACAGCCTGAGACCATTAGCTCAGGAGATCAAGGAGATGGCACCCCTGAATCTAACCAGTATTCTACCATAGAATTTCACACCATAAACCCAGGGCTTCAAAACATATTTAGAAGCTGAAGCTAACAAGAAGAGTGTCACTAACAATAGGAAGACACAGAAACAATTCCCAAATGAAAGGAAAGGAGAAAGTCTCAGAAAGAATGCTAAATGAAATACAGGCAACTCAAATATAGATATGGAGTACAAAGCAGTGGTTATCAGGAAGCTCAGAGAACTCACAGAAAATTACCAGAAACTACAGGTAAACTACAATGAACTCACTGCAAACTATATCAACATGAAAAAGAAAATAGAAATTATCAACAACGGCCAAGACGAAATGAAGAATACAATTTCTGAAGTGAAGAACACAGTAGAAGGAATTAAAAGCAGGCTCAATGAAGCAGAAGACTGGATCAGAGAGCTGGAGGACAAGGTAGAAAAAAAAACACCCATAAAGTGCAAGAAAAGGAAACGAAGCTCAGAAAGAATGAAGAGGGATTAAGGGAAATGCAAGACAATGTGAAACATAATAATATCAATATATTAGGGATATCAGAAGGAGAAAAACAAGAGGAAAGGATAGAAACTTTGTCTGAAAAAGTAATGATGGAAAACTTCCCTAATTTGATGAGAGGAAAAAGTCACACAAATCCAGGAAACACAGAGAGTCCCAATCAAGAGGAACCCAAAGAGGCCCACCTCAAGACACATCATAATTAAAATGGCAAAATTTCAAAACAAAGAGAGAATCTTAAAGGCAACAAGGGAGAAACAGGAAGTAACATACAAGGGAGCCCCAATAAGGCTAACAGCTGACTTCTCAATGGAAACACTCCAACCCAGAAGAGAATGACAAGAAATATTCCAAGTAATGAGAACCAGTGGCCTGCAACCAAGGCTACTTTACCCAGCAAGGCTCTCAATCACAATAGAAGGCCAAATAGGGAGCTTCCCAGACAAAAGAAGTTTAAAAGAATACACCTCCACCACACCAGCTCTGCAAGAGATGCTAAAGGGCTTGCTTTAAGGAAAGAAAGGGAAAGAGAGAGAGAGGAACACAGGTAAGAAAATGGCAATGAATAGTACCTATCAATAACAACCTTAAATGTAAAGGCATTAAATGCTCCAATCAAAAGACATAGAATAGCTGAATGGATAAGAAAGCATGACTCGCACATATGTTGCCTACAAGAGACCCACC